AGATGCTTCTGATGGGCGTGAAGGGAGTGTATCGGAGCAGGACGAGACGAGGGCGATGCGCAGGAGGAAGATGGCAGTCATGGAGAGAACGAGAGGAAGCTCCCTCATGATGAGTTGGAGCGTGAGCAGGGCGGCAAGGCAGGGCAAGGTCTGGTGTAGCAGCGATTGTGGACGGGGTAAGGAGATGACAATCGAGGATGTGATGCCCTGACCGAGTAAGAAGCGTGTGCAGCCAGGGGGTCTTGCTTGGGGTCCAGGCCTGAGGGGGGGGGACGCGGGCGTGGGTTTGACGGAGAGAACGGGGTGTTCGAATGAGCTTTCCAGGCCGATTGGCGGTGTTGATTGGGCGAGGCGGAGGGCCTTAGATTGCGACCCTTCAGTGGAGGTAAGGGGCTGACAGGGGGGGAGCTGCTGTAGTGGTACGCTGTGGGTTTCCCGAGTGGTCCCTGCAAAGAGAGCCTGGGCCTGACGTCTGGGAAGCTGGACACGCTGGAGAATGTGATCTCGCGTGTCGTCTCGCCTTTGGAGATGAAATGACGAACAGGGCCACAGCTTTGCTTATTATGGACGAGGATTAGAGACAGGAAGCGGGCGGTAGACGTAGAGCTGGCGGGAGCATTGATGCCAATTTGATGTTTCGTTTCCCGTCCTGATGTTATGACGCAGCACTGGCTTGATTGGGATGAACCTTGAAAGGAGTGGAGAAGGGCAACAGCTCTGCTTTGATGCGCAATGTTGATGTTGTTGAACAAGTCGAAATGAATGCTACACGACCAGCCGGGGGGCACGAGAAGTGAAGCGCGTCAAGAGAAGAAGGGAGACCAAGACCCCTTCGCCAGCTTTCGATCGGATCGGGGCAGGGTGTTTGCTTTAAACACGACAACGAGATGCACCATGGGGGGGGCTCCGACACGGCCAGCCCGGACGGATGCTGCTGCAGGTCTCACGAGACGAGCCCAAGTGACTGGCCAGAGACAACGGGTACATGGGCAGATGGGGGGGTTCCCGATACTAATCCCACCAATTCCCTCACAAAAGTCGGCTGAGTATCGTCGTTGCTCAGCGTCGCTGGGGAGCAACGCTGGTGTCAGCTGTTGTTTTGCCTGTAGTTCACCACATCAACCGGTGGATCTTCGTATGTTTGAGTTGCGACGATCCACCTCGAGTAGCCGTATCTCAGGGGCTTGCAGCAAAGAGGCGTGGAGAAGCATCGCGGGAACCAGGGGGTTACCCCCTTCGACGTCCAGTGCCGCCCCAGTGCCAGCCGTCCGTCGGCTTTCTTTAGGTCTAGCGGGTCAGCCTGCGTCCGCTGGCCCAGAGGACGGACCCGGAATAGATCATGCACGTCAGGTTGGTAACTCCTGGTTTCCAGGGTGATATCTGCAGGTACTTGCTTCTCTCTGCCCAGTATGCTGCGTCTTTGCAAATCAATCTGAGTCGCTCGGCTCGTCCGTTCGGATTACTTCACTGCTGAAGATGCTTTATCAGGTAGGTAACTCAAAGTCAATGCTGGACAAATTAAATGAAAACCCGAATTGAAAGTTCAGCGCGCGGTGGTGACCTACCAGAGCTGACGACAGGCGGTGAACCGGTTATT